ATTAATAGAGGTGTTTAAATAGCAGGTTATAGAATGTGTAGTATAAATATCATTACTCTACAACCATTTGAGTACACCAAAAAGAATGCAAGAAAACTCTCTTCTTCCCCACTTCATCTTCTTCTTTTTCTAGCTATATTGAGGATATAATCCATGCCAACTGAGGGTTCGGGTGTTCTAGAAAAACCACTTCAAACTGTTGTATCCTAGAAAACAAACATCCGGTAGCGGACAAAATTGTTTTAAGGACAATGTGTTAAACACATGCCTCAGTTTTTCTATTTTCTTTTCTGTTTTCGTACATTACTGGGATGTTTTTCCTAGGCTTTATTCTCTCATCCTTTATAACCATACATCATAAGCGTTAGAATTCCATCTTGATATTATGTCCCTAAGATACCTCTTCTAACATATCAACTTCGATAATAATCCATATGGACTACAAACATGTGATGGATTTGGTTTTAGAAGCCTATAATGAGAAACTAAACCCCCACAACACATTTATAAAGAATTACAAAATTTAGTTTGAATCATGTCAACAGAAAAAAAAAATATGGAAAAAATTGGAGACAGTGAGTGAAGCGACAGCTTCTTAAGTTATGAATTTGGCTATTACATACTAGGTTACAACCCGTGGAAACCACAGGTTTTCCACGGGTAAAATATTTAATAAATAGTTATTAATTATTAGAAAATATTTTTATTGGTTGTTAAATTGTCATTACAACTTCATCGAATTTTATAAAATAAATGTAAAAACCTATTTATGATTCAAATTAAAATAATAAATATTTACAAAATTAATTAAATAAAAACAATATTTAATTACATTACTCTATAAGCAATATTGAAAAATTGTCAATTATCTTAATCTAAAAACAATGTCGCCTGCAAAAATTATAATTTTTAAGGGAATAAGATAATATTAGTTAAAAAATACAGGGGCAATTTATGTAAGGGTATAATGAGTTAATCAAGGAAACAATTTATGTATTGTACTATAATCATGTATATTTTGAATTAGAAGAAAGTCATCGACAATGAAGGAGTATTTTTGTATTTGTCAAATCGAACATCGATTTGAACAAAGGAGGGCAAGAACGCTAGATGACCTGATATCGTTTGATTGTTTCTTCTATATTCATTACGATTTCTTATTAGACAAAATAAACATACATGCAAGAAGATCGTAGCACTTCAAAAGATTGGGAAGAATCAATCTCGCACAGGGGTTCGCATTGTCGGTCTTGATTTTGTGCTACGTGGGAGAAATGGTCTGGTACGATTAAAGTGATGATCCTCCAATTAACCTCCGATGAACAACAGGTAAAAATTTAGTTTTTTTTTTAGAAAATCAAGATACGGTGTTGTGGAATACTTTCCACGGGTATAATTTCAGTATATATACTTTTATTGTGGTGAAAATTTGAATCACTGAATTTTCTCCCGAATCTTTTGAAAAATTTTGTTCGCGCTTTTAGAATATTAGGCTGTTTACGTTAATGGGTTACACTTTCCATTGAAGATTAATTAATTTTGTATGTATACTCATACAAAAGAACCTCCTTGAGTAATTAGATGTAACACATATTGTCGTAATTATGATATGCACAAGCCGAAAATACCATTTTCTCTTGCTACTTCTCCAATCTTTTGAAATCCATGTTACCAAATACCCTTTTCTATAGTTGCTTTATTTTTAATTGAGGATCATAAATGAACTTTATAAGCAACATTCTTTGATTCACAATGCTCTACTTAAGTGCTTATGCTTTCTCATGTTAGGTTATCAATGATCTACTTGATCCAACAGGGCAAAATCTGCATGAGAAGATTAACAGGTTTCTCCATTAACTGACCATAATTACATATTGCATAATCAATTCCTAAACTTTTATCAAATGGCCATTAATATGACATTTATAGCTTGTAGTCTCAAAATTGAGACAATTAACAAAGATACATAAAGTTAACCCATTAGAATTCAAAGTGAATAGGAGCAATATTGGAATATCTTACAATTTTGTCCCTAAAAGGATTTTTCTATCATTTTTTGCCATTGATAATTAATAATGTCTTACAATTTGACACTTTTTCTTATTAATGCAACCTAGCTTATCATTTTTTATATAAATTCATATCTGTCGTTATAGTCTCATTAGCACATGTAAATTTAGGACAACAATGCTTACTGTAAAAACAGCATGTAAATTCTCCAAATGCATGTGTAATATACATGAAATGGTAATATACTTCAAAAATATGTTGTCATTTCATGTAAATTACATGGTTTTTAAGGCAAGGGTAGAAGTGTCAAGCTATTAACAATCTTATATTACAAACAGAAAATATCACATATAATGGGAATTTTTTGAAATAAAATGGATAGTTTTTGCATTATTTTACAAGACATACACACAGGAATGTTATAAGAAACATAAAAAATGGAAGTATGTTTATAATTTTTGCATTTAGCCCAAACTTAAAAAGATAAAATCAAGGAAAAAAGGACAAACGCATGAAAGTGCATTGTTGGAAAAAGGGATTTTTGTTTCATAAAAAAAAAGCAATGTAGTTTCACGTCATGTGGTCCTCTTCTCTTAATTTTAGCAAAAAACAGCAATGTACTTTTAAAGTACGTTGCTATAATCGACAAGAATGGTTTTTGTACCTGTTTTATGAAATAAAAAACTAAAAATATTAAGAATTGAAATAAGCATCTGTTTAATGTAAAAAAAATTGTAATAATTACGATGTTTATTAGATTGTCAACATATAAAGAAAAATAGTACTCTTATGTCGTCTTTAGCTAACTCACCGGCTCGAGTCTTAATCACCTTGCATTTTACTTACTATCTTTGACCCTACAATGATAAGCATCTCTAACAATATACTTAAAACAATCAAATGTCCTTTAATCAATTTGTTCAAGTGATGTGTTTTGACGATCTATCTTGACTTTGTAGCTTTTCACAAGAAAACATATACACACACAACATACATTGCATGTGATGTTGTGTGTGTATGTATTTGTGTACCTCTGTTACACAAAAAGTTTAATGTTAAGGACTATCCATACAATGCTATTGTATGTGTATTAACGATAGTTTGTTGTCCATTTTCGGGTTTTCTTGAAAATACTTTGATACAAAACACAATAGAAAGACACACAACTAACACAACATACGTATATGACAGAAAACATTTACACACACAACATGTGTACATAGTACAATAGAAACAAAAATCACATCCAAAGAAGAAACGATAGAAACAGAACATGTAAGAATGCATAAATGGTTTGATTTAACAAAGGTTAATGTTACCTGATGTTTTTTCTTGTTTAATATGATACAGCTTCGAAGAAATGAAGTAAAATCATATTCCAAGAGATGATCAGAGTGAGAAGAAAGAGACGTAAAGGATATAGAAAATAGAAAAAGGTGATATTTATTGGAATTTTAGAGATTATGATAATCTTTAGTAGCCATAATTTAAGGGATTCTTATTTCAAATCAGTGAAAATTATAAGAGTTCAAATTTCAAATCCCTATAACAATGGTAAAAAAATCGGGTATATAAAAATGAGATTATATAGTTTCTAGATATAATCAGAAAAGTTTTGAAAATTCTGTGTGTTGAATTTATTTTAACCTTTAATTCGCTTAAAATCAGCAAATTGTTATGAGGATCATAAATTTCGTTTGTAACTGTATATTCAATTTCCAAATGCAGGTTATAAGAGGCATAAACGAAGAAGGGGTATATCAGTAATTTTACTTTTTCAGAAAAAATGTTGTAGAATGGACCTGTGGCATAGAGGGATTCTTTTATTAGATAGAGAGATTATTATGAATAAAGTTGTAGTTGTAATGTTCTTATCTAGTCCGTAAAGGAGGTTTTGGCGTCCTTTGAAAAAGAGAACACACTTCGAGTTTTTTTTTTCTTCTTTTTATGATAAAGTATAATTTATATATATATA